TTTTGACAGCATTACTTCAATTAATTTCCATTGCACAAAAAGCAGCAAATACTCTTACTGAAGCACAGAATTGGCATGATTTTTTCCCGGCCATTCACGCAAACTGCAAATCAAGACTTTTACCGCATCCATAGTTATTGACAGCCGATGGATGATGATGGATGTATTGTGACGTATTTTGACCCCCGGATTCTGACCTTGCATTCTTGCCACATTTACTTTCATACCCGTTCAATTTCCTTTCATTATTTCATCCAGATTCCATGATATTTTATATTTAAAACCAACCTTTATTTCACAGTCACTCAAGTTTTCACTTTTCTAAAATTATCTTACTGATCAAAAGACTTTTCACTCCCATCATACAATCTCCCATAGTACTTCCGCCGACACATCGGCGATCGCCAACATATCTACAAATAACCTCGCTCTCAGGAGCTGAGGAATGAGAAGAAATTTATTCCACGAGAACAGGGTTATACAAACAAAAGTAAATAATAATTAATAATAATAATAATAATAATAATAATAATAATAATAATAATAATAATAATAATAATAATAATAATAATAATAATAATAATAATAATAATAATAATAATGTGTTTTTTTAACTAGTCTGATATGTTATCCTGTCATATGATAATCACTACACATATAATCTTTGATCAGTAAAGTATAGACAAAATTAAGCTAATTTCTGAATGAAAGAATATAGAATATCACTGTAAATGAAAAAAAGTCTGTGCAACAAAACCAACAGTATTTTAATATAGCTCACTACCAGTGATTATATCAGTTTACCATTACAAACTGTTACATTTAAAACTATCAATATTGATATTTTGTTTCAGCACTGCTGGGTGGCTCAAAGGGGTGTGGGTTGCTTTTTCGTTCAGTCAGCCTTGCTTGATTATTACGAATGGGTTCAGTTAGGGAGTTCTAGCGATATAATTCCACGTTCATCAAGGTGATTTCTTCGAAACATACAAAATGTACCTGGTTACATGATGGGTGCGTGTAGTTGTGCGTGCGATGGAGATGGCAGGTAATAATCATTAAGTTGCCACGCTAAGAGGTCACGGGTCATTTGGTCAAACAAGTGTAAAATTTACTGCACTTTTTAATTGGTTGAAAAGAAAAGAAATGTATGTAAACGATCTTTTATTCTAGAGAATCAAAATAGGACTAAACACAATAGCTTTCATGACACAGAATTATATATTAATTTGGAATATAGTGGTGAATTTAGTAAATGAGGGCTATTTGGAAGGGGGCTACTGTTTTTCGAACCTCCTGGCTATATGTACGAGCCTTGTAGTTTACGTGTTCGTCGCATGCCGGTAACATGTTTAGAATTGACGCCCTCAATCGGTGAACCGGTAAACAAATTGCGGGGTTTGCGTGATCATGCAGTTTTGCAAATAGTTATCGTGCATGCCGTGAGTTTGTTAGCACTGCACAAACTGTTAATTATATTGAAATTTAATAAATTAATATAATCGTTTTGGCACTTTTTGTAATTTCTGACTTGTAGTTACGTCTTCCGAACGTCAGTAAAACCCCCAAAGATGATAACTCAGAAGCTTTAATTCAACGATTTCATCTTTGAAATTATGTTTTCTACCCCGTGACCTATCCACGCATTATTTCGTTTTCTCAAAATCTTACTTTATCTTGTCAATTGCTTACAATAATTTCAAGTAATTTTTCGCATTGTCATTCTTTAGTGTCTCGTATCTGCAAGTTTAACTTCAAAAGTTCCGAGTCGTCAATTCGTTACAGAAATGTTTGTTGTTTGTTCTGTCCTGCCATAACTGCTGTATTACGCGTTTCTCTTTGAATGTAGCCCATTACGTTTCATTCTATATCAAGGTGGTCTCGGTCACGAATCCGGGGGGGCTACTTCAACATTAAGTGGGTAAGGGTGTGCAGCCCACCTCTCGTAAACCATACTCACTTATAAACAATTTGCTTCTATTTATATACCCACTTCTAAACACAAGTCTTTTCAGGGAAAAAAACACAGCTCACAGCTTTCGCAACCAGTGAGCGCATCCGGGCGATGCTTTTTATTTCCGGTATTTGGCTTTGAATATAAGGACCTGTGAAAAAGCAAATAAATGCTACACACTTCTTAACCAAAACATTGATAAATGACCACCCACTTCTAAACAAAATAACGTGAAATGACACCCCAGTCGGGCAGCACATACCCGTATCGCACCTCTATGCAAGTAGCCCCCCCCCCCGGTCACGAATCTGTAGTGGCGTATTTTCCCCTAAATTCAGACATTATTTTAAACATCTTAAGTTGTGTGGAGGTGAACTCAGATTGCCGTGTATGTGTCGATTAGCTCCGAGAAATCAAATGTGAGTGTCATTCATTCGCACGCCTGGATGTCATCTCAGCTCATTTGCATGTAGTTTTAACCGTGTTTTTTTATTCTGAAATAACTATATTGTTTGTTGTATCGTGGTATTGCGGGGGCAGGGAGGTTGGGTAAACTAATATGTTTTAGTAAAGCCGATTGTACAATCCCACACAATGAATACATTGTGTCTGATTTAATATAACACGGGTTGTGTTCATTTTTTAATTGTTGTCTTCGAACTGCTGTTAATAGTTCTTGGAATTTGCATATATTACTCCGTATTTGGAAGACTTTTGCAAGACAGTGTGCGCTTTACTAGACTATACGCCCTCACTCACCTACCTACCCAAATTCAGAACTGTGTACAACTAGTGGGTCGGCTGAAACAATGTCGATAGTTGAGAAATTCATGCGCCAAGCGAGAGACATGCAGTGCAATAATTAGTTTAATGGAATGTATATTGATCGATCACACTATGGTAATTTTTGAAAATGTATATATATTAATATAACGTATAAATCGTTATAAACGTCGCTTCGAATAACATTTCAAAAACTATTGTAATACGATATGTGTAACTTATTATATACAGAACTATATTTACAACAAATTGTATATCCACCGTATTTATGCAGTCTATACATATTCGATTTGGAATACACACGTCTTCAAAGAAAATATACAACGCTATACGCAATGTTATACTTAGTTAAAAATCTCGTTGTTATAGATACACAATTAAGTTGCATTATGTCATATATTTCATGTCACACCTCGACTGGTGTCATTTGTCCGTCTGTACTTCGTGATAAATTCGTTCGACTGGAATATCCGGAAGACTCTATTAAAAGAAAGAGAGAAAAATCTTGAGAGAAATGTCGTATACATATTTGCGTTTGGAAAGAAGAAATCAAAAATGTATTTCAGTTTTGAAAAAAAAATATTGAAAAGCGGAAATATTGTCAGGAAATGAACAAATCTCCGACTATTACACCATGAAATGTGCATGGTGAATATGAAATCAATCTAGTTTACAGATCTGAACAATATGTCAAATCAAATATATGAATTTTGACTTTAAAAAACAACCCAAAAAATATAATAAAGCCATGATACACCCCAGACGCTTTAAATAAAAAAAAACACAAAACTGAATAACGACGTTCAACAAGTTAATTTTGTTTGACGAAATGCACCTGCATATTATGATATGTGCATGATGACGTACACCTGGCAATATAAATAATGTATATATGCATTGAATGGAAGATCTGTAGGCTTGCCGTAAAAGTTTGCCGTAAAGAGGTGTACAACAACGACGATGACGATAAGGAGAATCTATGTTACTAAGTAGTGCTGTTTTACAATACAACACGTCCTACCATCAGTTTTCTTCGAGCTAGTGCTTACTGTGGAGTTGTTCATCTCTTCGTCGTCAGTATTTGGCGGCTGAGTTGTCGACGCTTTTGTTTTTATAGGAGTTGGAATCTCGCTATGGGGTGCGTCTGAGCCCGTCGCCGAAGGAGCAGAAAGCACGCTGGAACGTACCAAAGATTTCAGAAAAAAAATAAAAGCTGATTATTTGTAATGTATAAATGAGGAGATACATTTACTAAAAGAATAGTACATGGGCGTGTATTGATAGTTGTTTTACTGGTGTTGAAATACTCAGCGGGATATTAAACTGATGTGATATGCGATACTTGATATCGACTCTTGTGCTATAGCCGCGATTGGTCATGGATTCTTTAGGATAAGTGAGCAACGACTCTTCCCAAAATGCCACTTTTTACAAATCATGAATTTTGAGAAGCCACTAAAGGTGTCCGATGGAATATATGCAACATAATAGGCTCATGTCAGAGAATACAAACAATATTCATGAATCGAAGTTATATATCCGGCTAGTTATGTCAACGATAATAGCAACCTACCAGTTAGAAAACTTTTTCCTTTTCCAAATAATTATTATAATAATAATTATCACTACAGTCAAGCTTATAATACCAATAAGAATAATATACCACTTAAAAAACGATGCGTCGACTATGAAAAATATAGAGATCAATCATTTACCATTCATACAATTTACATTTTAAAAAATATCTATACTATCAAATGATTTTATTATATATACGATATAAAACAATAAAATAAACATTACACCTGGTAGTGGACATAATGTATCCACGTTTTCACCAAACATAACAATATTTCATCAAAAGAAAATATAAGAAAAGAAAGAACTACTCAATGAACATATATAAAAAGAAACTTACTGGCTACTGATTTGATAAGGTATTTTTTAAATGAAAAAAGACTATGTTGAACATGAAATGAAACAAAAATAACCAAATATAGAAAATCATGATCAGAAATAGTCTAAAAAAATATTGAATCTTTAATCTGGCTTCCGGATGTTGAGAATGTGGAAATCTCATGGAATTAAGATTATAGAAAACTGAAGGTTTCAAGTAAGATACACTCCACGGCATCAACAATACGTATATATCAAAGCTGTAGGTGCGCACGAAAAAGTTGAACAGACATTACCTTGGAATAAACACAAGAGATATTCTATAATAAAGAACACCTGTCTGATCAATATAAAACGACGGCCAATCAGCGATATGAATCAGCAATATCTCGTCCGAGATAACCGAGAGCAGCTGAATATCAAAATTGCTGCTTTAAAGTTACATTCCCCGGAATTTTGTATAACATGCAGAACACCCCAACTTACTATTGTTATCACCGTAAGAAATAATAAAATTGGTTGCTATAGCCACAAATCGTTGTGTCTGATCACCAAATCAAACATAATTTCCATTGTTGTATTTTCTTTATTTCACGAGATTTTTCTAAAATTTTATTAATTATACAGCATCCAAATTTCTTATGATGCCTACAGGAGCCAGCAGAAGGTTTTCTACAGGCCATACAAAGTAGGAATGCAACTTTAATCATGTGCAGTTTTCATTACGTACTTATACATGGGGGTAAGGATAGATTCCATGGCGGTGGTTGACCACATTCACATAATGCTGTACGTGATAGCAATTGGGGTCCTCTCACGTGACAAGACGCCATTTCCAGGGATGTCTAGATAAATATGGCTTGGTATGTTGTTACTGTGGCAGTGGTAAACAACGAAAAAACATGATAAATATGGTTATCCACAAAAAACAAACGATTTCGCGCACTATAAATAAGTCGCGGGTACAGTACCAATTTAGAAATGTATTCCCTGACTAGAAATCACGAATATAAATTAAAACAACTCTGATTCAATCACAAAATAACACCCCGTACACAGTAGCCCATCACGTGCTATGTCCATAACAAATGTGAATGAAAACAGTGAAGGCATACTTGAAAAACAGTTGATTATTGGTGTTTTGACCGGGCTACGTCAGATGAGACTTAAAACATAGACGCTGTTTTGTAGCATGTTGAAATTTAAAACCGTGTTTTTGTATGGGGACTAATCTGGCATCCCCCTTCTCCTAAGTGTGAAGCAATGCATATACATTTGTACATGTGTAGATACATCACACTTTGTATACGCATCAACAATGACAAACCGATCATATAACTCTAGTATTCCTGTTTCAAGTAGGTGGTATTGTTCACACTGCGCCTTTCCGAGTAAAACGGCAGCTCGAGCCCAATTCTAATTCTGCACTACTAAGAATGTTATTGTAAATATATGCAATGCATTATGGGAGAGGACTTTTATTGCTCTATATTATATTTTTGAATTCATTCAACAATCACATATGATTTTTTCATCTCATGTCACTGTGTAAAATTAGAGATATGAAAAAAAAACAATGCAAAAAAGCAAAGAAATTTTAAGCATTCTTCATATCTGGAAAAACGTTCCGGTCACCCTATTGTTTTCGTTTTCGGTATTCTGATTGCCTAACCTCATAAGAAAGAAAGCATGAAAAAAACGACAAATATTCTTTGAACCACTTTAAAGAAAAATTTGACCATGTCAATCTATGTTTTGTTGCCATGGAAATGGAGTATTGTGTGGGGAGAAATATTTGTTTATTTTTTAAAACCGCTGTCTACCGTACGAATTAATCTTTCTCACCTTGCTTTGTAAACATCGTACATTGTTTGATGTAACAGCGCACACAATGGCTTGAACACAATGGCACTTCAAAGTGCACTTTACTTCCTTAACGACATCTCCGCTTCGAAAGCCGTTAAAAACTATCCTAACATTAGCTTAGGGCTTTACATTTAACAGGGTGATATTTTGAGAGAATAATTTCACCAATATAATGCATACGATAGGATAATTCTTGAGATGATAAAAATATGAATTCATATTTTTGTCATGAATTGTCTAGTAACTAAGTGCTTCGACAAAGTATGCCGGAATTATTGCACATAAATCGGTGACCAACGTCACGTACGGTTACTGGTGAATCGGGTTACCGTGAATAGGTTACTTGAAAGTCAGACAGCACTGAGCGCATATATATCCACAACCTGGGTACTGGGTGCGATGGTATAGCTAGCTCAACTGTACAATCTGATCGGTGAAAACAAATACGGTAACATATTCCAATAAAACTTATATAACAACCCATTATCACAGTAAGACTGAACGGTGCACTTACCTAACAACACCCGTGGATTCGGTTCAATGTTCACGACAATCGAAATACATAAGTTGGGTGCAAACGGGACACCGCTTCCCAATGTGAGCTTGATACCGACACCATTGGTTTCTTCAAGACAATGAGCTGTTACAAGCCAACGTATTTAAAGGTTATTTTCGGGTATGACTTCATTCAAATCTTACCCGTGTTGTCCACACAGTAGACATTCATATTACGTGCACTTAAAGTGCGATAGTCGTCGCGCAGCGCGTGTTCGAATTTCATGTAAATAAACAAATTGAATGTATTTTACACGCGTTGTATACGTCGCTATGAGTCCCATATCGAACAGGACGCGGCGCGACGACTGCCACCCTTTAATGTAATTACTGGTTGCAATGTGTGACACCCATTTTCTCAAAGGAGGTGTTCGAATTTCATATAAATAAACAAATGTATTTTGCACGCGTTGTGTACGTCGCTGTGAGTCCCATATCGAACAGGGCGCGGTGTAACGACCACCGCCCTTTAAATCATATTTATTTAACTACCATTTTACCAATGATTCAGAATGTTGGACCGCTTCCTCGTTTAGTTTACAGTTCCCCTTGGGATATCAGTGTCAGTCTCTTTAAGTTAGATTGCGTCATAGCCCAGTTTTATTTATACTAAATGCCAAGTTTTCAACTCTGATTCATGTCTTTTGCATACCACAATGATCAAGCCAATTTCTATTGGGATTTATTTGGTGTAAAGCCGGGTTTTCCAGTTTTTATAGATCACGTGACAGTTTTTAGTGCCTGTCATTCGATTTCGGACTATATCACGTTCACAAGTTCATCATTATGCAGTTCTTTTAACACCCATCTCTCACAAATTCACTATGCACATCTTATTAGAACGATGGCAACTCATTCCTAAACGGCCACGGCTCGTACACACATGTACTGTAGCAAAATCTCCAGGGCTTTTAAAGCGGGAGGGTCGTCACCTGCGCACGCGCGGGAATTGAGTCCCAAGCGACGATAACAACACACGCTAAAAACGCAAAGGCTCATCGGTAGACGCTTGTTCGTAAACAATGACACGTTATGGCCACCTGACACATGCGCAGGTGACGACACCCCCACTTTAATGCCTATCCACATGAATATAGGAAAGGTACTCTACCCTTATTTATCGAGAACAAAATGTGTGGAATGTTATTAACTACGCTCGCCGAATTTATTTGAATACTAGCAGTTGGTTTGGGTGGCAGATTTTTAGTTCAGGAATATATCGTCCTCCCGCGCTTAAATGTTCCGACACGAGTTAAAATATCACAGAATAGCTAGCGTGCACTTTGACAACTTTTGTTACACATCGGATGTTTCAGGCGATAATCGTAGTAGTCACTGACAAAGCGATCCATCTTTGATCCAATAAAGCCTATACAATTACTTCTATCGAAAAGTGCAATAATATTGCCTATTGCATCAAAAATAGGCAAGGGGTATTTTCAATTGTTTTTATTATTCTAATAATGTAATTTAAATAAATAAAAAACTTAAATTCGTAGACATGGGCAAGCAGTAAAATGCAATCAGCTATTTTATTCGTCCGTAATTTGTACACAGATCTTATTTTTTGTAAGCGTATAAAGCATTTCTACATTAAATGTCATAATTCGTAAGCAATTTCCAATTTTGATTCTTAACCACAAATTATCATATTGGAATTCTCTACCTGAGCCAATCAAACAAATTATTAATAGAATAACTTTCAAAAGTTCCCTAAAACAACATATACTGAACAACGTACTTTAATATTTAAATACTAGCTTTATCACATGTATGATACAAATATTATTTGCAGCTAAACTTTATTTGTACTTGCCCACGATTGTTCCACTAATAATATGATGTGCAGAGTAGCGCATTAACAGCTCCATTTTTTTTTCTTTCTTTTTTTCTCTCATTTTTTTCTTC